TGGGGTCAGCCTAGCAGTTTGGTTTTTTTGGAGTCGTAACTAAATGTGACACACTCTGTGGGCTCTTCCCTGACTTCTTGAGAGAATAGGGAGAGGATGGAATTTGAAATTCAGCAGCCGAAGTTTAAATCTCTGTCTGACTTAAAAGCCAGGTGTCTCACATACATTCCGTGCGTGACCTCCCATCCCGCAGCTTATTAGGCTCACGCTGGTGTCAAGTGATGCCATGGACCTGGCCTGCACTGTGGGTCTCTCAGCCTGACCTGAGGCATCTCTGAGGCCAGAGACATGAGGCGACTATGGGAACCCGCCAGCCTTTTAGACCCAAGCACACGCCCCTGTAGTAACACAGCCTCAGAGGCCCGGAACCTGTGAGAAATTTGTCATCTTCTGTCTTAGACAGTCAGTTCTGAGGAACCTCCTGCCCAGCTTCTCAGAAACCTCCAGAAGAAATCAGCAAGAAGTCCTAGTGCCCACATTGTGGCCAACGCAAGCACTAGCTTTCCTCTCATCACTTGTGCTCCCTGAGGTCACTTGTCAAAGTAAACTACCCGGAGGTCCAGGCAGGAGGATCCCCATGAGTTCAAGGTCAGTCTAAACTATGTAGAAAGACCCTGTCTCAAAAACCAAAGCAAAGCAAACTACCTACCCACCAGCTCTCATCTCACGGTCTGCTTTTCTGGATGGGATAAGACAGGACAGCAAGCATTCACTTATCCTCTGTAAGCCTGAGCTTCCTCAGCTGCAGTGTATTTCTCAGGGATATTGTAGAGAACCTGATAGGCTCTCTACCTAGCAGGACTTTTGTTTCTTTTTAAAGCTCAGCCATTAACTCCACCATCACATCCAGCCCCATTATCTCTGCCACCACCACCATATCACCTGCACCGTCACCACCTCCAAGACCATCACCAATAGCATCTTCTCCTCTACTGTCACAATGACCACTGCCACCCGGAACAGCATACCTGTCACCGCCATCACCATCAATGCCTACACGCCACCATTACTTCACTCCAGGAGAGTCCTGCACAGCGTTGCCCTAACCCAGGTCTAGTCCACTCTTTGTAGATAAAAAAAGAAGATACTATACTGCTTCAGTCTGCTGTGTCTGCCTCAGCAGCATCTCAACATGGGCTCATTAAGATTCTCCCCTAGCATCAGTCAGAATGCTCTGACTGGTTAAACTCTGGCAGCAGAGGTGTCATTTTTCTCTAACACATATCTATAAGGCCAGGTCCCCTGTATCCTTCAGGAGATGCAGAAATATTTTCCCCATCCCCAGCAGTGACTCTCAAGAACACAGAGGTTCAGATCTCTATTTCAGTCTAACAGGGGAGACTCTGAAACAACCCTCTTCCTCTTCTCTTCATGACCTGGCTAAGCACTGTGACCCAGCTCTGGGGACACGCTGACCTCAGATCTCTTTCCAAGCAGTGGGATCTTGGAGGCCCTGAGTGATGGCATGCCTGCTCCCATTTCACAGGTGAGGAGACTGAGGCACTAAAGTGGAGTTTTTGTGCCTGCTACCAGGCAGAGCTGGATCAGCAGCTGAAACCTTTGCCCCTGCCTTGGATCCTCCCTGCCACCCCTCTTGGCTCCACAGCCCTTCCTGGCTTTCAGAGCAGACAGCTGGGCCTGGGGATGCACAGAGTGCTATGGGGAGTGCTATGCCTAGATTGGGGAGCAGAGGAGGCAGGTAGCAGGTGCAGGATAATGGGGCCACTGGGAGAGGTTCGAGGAGCAGGTGCTACTCATGGAGGGGGTGAGGTTGTCATTGTACACTCAGCTCTGGTGGGCCCAGAGCAGGCAGGGGATTCCTGTGGGCCCCTTGGGCCACCCTGGCTCACACTCAGAGGTCATCAGGATGCCTGGGCTCAGGCACACAGCCAGGCCCCTCCCCTGGGTCCCAGAAACCCTGTCAGGTTGCCATAACAACCACCGCTTTCATCCCCATCCCTTTGTCTGGCATGGTCCAGCTTTTGTGACCAGCCATAATTGGGGATGGGGGAGGGGGACCTTGCCTCAGCTGGGGTGAAGTTGTGAACTGGAAGCAAAGAGAGGCTGAGAGAAGGCTAAAGAAAACTAGAGACGCAAAAAGGTTGGGCCTTGCCGGTCAGTGGTTCCCCACGGCCTCCTTTTAGCTGTTTAGTCACACTCTCAGAGCTGGGGCTGTGGACCTGGGAGTGAGCTGGCCCCAGGCTCCCCTGTTCCATCTCAGGGCTTTGTTTGCCCAGTTTTCCATGGAGCTGTGGACCACCTCTCACCTCTGGTGCACAGTGGCTCTGGGAGGCAAGAGTGTGGGCAAGAATGTGTTAACTCCCTTATATAACTGTAGAAACTGAGGCCAAAGAACAAACTGGGCCTAGCCAGGATCACCTCAAGGTGAGCAAGTGACAGAGGTATCAAGTCCCCAAACAGAGCCTACAGCTATCGCTGCCTCCAAGCCCCACCTACAGTGGAACCTGGCCAGCAGAACTTGGTGGGGGTCAAGGAGGCCTTGCGGTGGCCCATCCACCGTCCTGGCTCAGGCCCCACCATCTGTGTGACATGGGACAAGTGCCTCCTCCTCTCAGAGTCCCAGTGTGTTTTAAAAAAAACGGGGGGGGGGGGGAGCAGAACTCCCTGGCTCCCTCAAACAGCAGAAGCAGCAGCCCAGGAGAGAACAGATGGTGCTGAACCCTTTGCCCCTGCCTGGGACCCTCCCTAGAAGGGGTAAGGGGGTGTGAGATGGCAGTCACCCCTCCCTCCCGCAGCTAATGAGGAAACGAGGGGCATCGTCTGCATCACCTTCTGCTCCTGCCAGCATTACCTGGCCCCCTAATAGCTGGACCCACCCTGAACTCTACTCTGGGTCTTTGACCCTACAGCTTCCTCAACCCGTGTTTCTGTCTTCAGCCAGGACCCAGGAGGTCCCTGGTCACCAGAACCTGGAGAGAACAATCAGCCCTGCGCTGAGTCTGAAGGATCATGACACAGAGAAACCCGTGCAGAAGAGGAGCATGCAGACCACCAGCTTGCTGGTGCAGACGAGGACCCCTGGACTGGGATAGCACCTAGGAGGGCAGCAGAGGGGCCACACAGAGGTGGCAGCAGCAGCACTGTTCTTCCCTGGGCTGCTGCTTCTGCTCCTTAAGGGGAGCCAGGGAGTCCTGCTGCCCAGGGTCCCAAGACCACTATGGTCTTGCTCCAGGAGTTTGGGACAACCTGGACAATGACCTGTAGGCTCCTGAGACTCGGGAAGGTCCCTCTCCACCAGGGGCACCTAATAGACATGAAAGGGTCTGCTGACGTACCCCAGACACTCCCTAGATCAACACCTCAGTCACACCAGTTTGGCACAGCCTTTGCAGCCAGCACTGGCACCACTACCTGAGACTCAAGGAACTGATGAAGGAGCTGAAAGTGCTCCCGCAGCAAGAGTGAAAGCAGGGCAAAAACCTGTTCAGGACCAGCAAGGCAGACTTCACATCTCAACACAGCCCTGCCATCCCAGGACTGTCACTTCCGCTTTCCCATGATCCTCTTCTTCAGGATTAGCTCTGCATCTATGCTGGATGGGAGTGCAGCTTTTGGCCAGACTTGGGTCTGACCTTGATTTTGGCCAGCCAGAAGTGCTGCTCATGGTGAGCCAGCCCCATGATAGGGAGCCCTGGGGACCCTTTTGTCCCAGGGACTCTCTCTTTCCTTCTTTGATCATAGTCAGGCTGCCTAAATTCCCTTCGTTAATGCAAAGAACAAATATTCAGGAGAACAGAGACTCTTGTGCTGGTTAAGTTGCTTCAGTGTGCACATTGGGAAACTTCCTTCCTTCACTGTTTGAGCTTTCTGTTTTTGAAATTTGATACCCTTACGCAGGCAAAATGTTTGTTGGGTGTTATGTTTCCTGTGTGTCTGTGACACTTTTCAGTGTGCATCAAACAGAGATGGGAAGCTTAATATCTTGTCCCAACAAACAGCTCATGTGGGCACATTCTGGGAAAATGGTCCAAGTTTATTTACCTGTATGTCTAAGAAAGATGAATTTCTATTGATTCAATAGGTCTAGGAGGGAGCCTTGGCAGAATTTAATTCAAATTCACCAGGGTAAACTGCTTCCAAATCTCCCAGAAATAGCTTTAGCTAGAGCAATTGTGGCGGCTCCATGACTTGAAAGGGATTTCTCCTGCACAGGTTTTTCACTACAGAACATGGAACCCAGGGCCTTAGCAGTGCTCCACCACTGAGCTACGTCTCCGGCTCTATTTTCGTTTTTGTTTTTGTTTTGAGATAGAGTCTCACTAAGTTGTCCAGGCTGGCTTTGACCCTATGATCCTCCTGCCTCAGCCTCCTAAGTAAGCTGAGATTACAGGCAAGTGTCACAATGCATAATGCTCCTGTTATTTCCTTTTTAACATACTTGAGCTCACTGTGCAGGCCATCATGAAGCCTTTTTCTGGTGAATTTACTTTGGTTCTACATGCCTAGTTAGATATTTTTGCTCTATCAGCACACCTGACATAAAAACATGAAAGGATTTTGGCTCTTCCACCCTTTTGTCCATACCCATTTTTTGGTCTGGACCCATTCATTAATTAATACAAATTCATCTCCTTCTTAGACATGAAAGTTACTAAACTTGGACCATCTTCCCAGAATGCGCTCATATGAGCTATATGTTGGAAAAGATGTTCAGTCTCATGTGAGACTGAAAGAGGAGGGGAAAGTAGCAAAAAAGACTTTTAAAATTAAGCTTGTTGTCATAGACATGTTGGCACATGCCTGTAATCTCGGCACTTAGAAGGCTGAGGCAGGAGGATCATCATGAGTTTGAGGCCAACTTAGATGACAAAACCTGAACTACATAGCAGAAAAAAATCAAACTACTGAAACCAGGCATGGTGGTGCATGTCTGCAATCCCAGCACTTGGGGCCAACCAAGGCACAAGAAGCCTGAGTTGGAGACCGGCCAGGCTACATACCAAGTTCACGTCCAGCTGGAATACATAGCAAGATCTTACCTTTTAAAAAATCAAACTTCCGGGAGCTGGGGATTTAGCTCAGCGGCATAAGCACCTGCCTTGCAAACAGTTCGATCCCTGGTACCGATAAAATAGAAAAAGAAAAAAAAAATCAAACTTCTATGTGAACTACATTACCTAAAAATTTTTTGTCCACAACAATAAATATAATTTGGATTCAATATTTTTATAAGCTGATCATATAAACTAAGATTGTTAAATTAATCCAGGTCCCTTTTAGTTCACAAATGAACTAATTTAAATATGTTGATAAAGTGAAAATAAACATGTCTTCAGAACTGTTAACATATATTTTTGCCTGGGTTCTTGATCAGTTGAAATTATATTTATCTCTGTTCAGTGCTTAAAACTAAGAACAAAGATGTAAATGAAAATGTGGCAACCCACTCAGGACCCCTCTGTCTCTCAGGCAGAGGCTTTCTCTCAATAAATATATTCTGCTCTTCACTTCCATTGTTCCTAAAGTTCATTCTTCCATTTTAGAGAACACAAACTCATACCAGACACATAGTAGGTTGGGAGTTTTGTTACGCTATATCATTTAGGGTCTTCCACCAAGATCACTGGACGGAGGAGGTAAGAGTTTGCTTTGGTTTCATACTCTGGGCTGGGACTCATTTAGGTAAACAAATTTTTATGCTTCAAATTTTTTTCTTTGCTTATAATTATCTGTGCCTTGTCTTTTCCCATTGCTTATAATTACTTTGTCTCATATAGTTTTGTTGAAAGCATGATATATATAAGTTAAAACATGGGACGTTTATAAGGTTTTGTTCTTGTACTTAAATTAGTCCTTGCTTGACTTTAGATAGTAGTGCTAAAGAGAATAACGTTAGAACACCACTGGTAGACTTTTAATATAAACTTCTGTAAAATAGATCTTAAATAAAATCTAGATAAGACTTAGAAAATATACATGCCTATAATAAACTGGGTCTCCTTCCACCATTTAAAAGCACTAGGCTGGTGGCTGGCCTCAAGGCTTGGCGGACGGGTTTCACTGAGACAGACTGGCCCTGATCCTACTCTATACTCTAGAGGAAATGTCAAGTCTGTTCTACTTTAGTTCCTTTTCTTTGGCTTTACTTTTAATCATTCCTCCACTTTGTACTTTACTTTTTAGAGGCATGTAAAATTAGAAAGAACTCTAGACTATCCCAGTATTTTTCTGCTGGTATGTTAAGTCCATAAAAAATGAGCATTTTCTAACGGCGATGTCGGGAAGTCATTTTAGATGAGAGACATATACCCCATCTCTGGATCAGAGGAGACATTGGAATTTTGCTCATTCAGGAGAACACACATAAAAGCCATATCTCAGTTTAGTGTTCTGGGCAACAGTCTCCCTCAGGAGACTGAACCCGAGACACAATGGAAAGAACTGACTTCTGGAACCTAGAAACTAATAGGTTTCTAGGTTCTGGAACCTAGAAACTAAATAGCTCCTTCTAGAAACTAGAAGGAGCTATTTCCAAAAGCAGCACTGATGGGAACTACACACATTTAGACTAAGGAGGCTCTCCAGCCTTTCAGGTTATGAACTTTAAAACCTTTATTGTAAATTTACCAAGTGCAAGATAATAATCTTGCTCAGTTGTTTAACCATCCCTTATAGTACCCTAACAAGCAGTGGTTACTCTGCCAGTTAAGTAACCACTCTTACAGCAACTCCCACTCTTAAAAGCAGAGAACAGGTTTATCCAGCATCTCTTTGGTGAATCCCCACTGAAGCCGATGGAATGTTGACCAGACAGACAGCTGGATCCCTTTCTGGATACTGACCTCTGGTTATCTGGGCCAATAGAAACTGAGAATAATTGAGGGTTCTTGGCCACAGTGACTCTCTGGTGCACACGCAAAGACTCTTCAGTGGAAACTGGCTCATGACCTCAGAAAATCTTCACTTACCTGTCTACTTACATAATTCTGCTAGTAAACTAAAGATGTTCGCTAAACTTTTCAGGCAGTTAGACTACTTTTCTCAGAAATTAGGCTGAGGCAGTTGGCAACAGTGTTTATATTTCAAAGAAACTAGTAGGGATTTACATTCGTGCCTTACATATTTTAACTAATAGAAAAAGAGATTTCCATCAACCTTTTACATATACCTAAAAGACTGATGTGCCTTGACTAACAGGTAAAATGTAATTGATAGATGATAAATATGTTTAACCTGTGAGCTTCAAAGAAAGCATAGCCATGTCCTGCTGCTAGGAAAGATTGCCTGTGTAATTAAATAGAGGATACAAATGCCTCGGAGAGTTTGCCTGAGGGCCCAAGGTGGAGTTACTCAGATTTCTATGTTAACTTTATCTATTTCCGAGGGAATCTCCACAGAACAGCCAGAAAAGTGCCTAACTCACCTGTTTACAATAAACAAAAAGCAATAATTTACTACATACTGTGAAAAAGAAGAAAAGTGGCCAGAATGCTTTATATTAAAACTTGCTTTCATTAAGGGATAATTCTTATTTTTATTCCAGGTATAATTACAATCTTTATGAGACTACCCCATTCATAGGTCTCTTTCTCTCAGTGATTTAAAACAAATTAAGCTAGCACTAGGAAAATTTTCAGGTGACCCTAATAAGTACATCAATGTCTTTAGAGGGTTTACTGACCTATAACCAAGGCTAGAAAGATGTAATGTTACTCTTAAATCAAAACATTGACTTCTTGTGAGAGACAATCAACATTCCAAGGTACTATTCCCTTTGGAGATGAATATCATACTGCTAATTTTAAAAGGCCAGAAGATAGACAGGAACCACCAGTCCCCACTGGCTCACAAAGCAGTTCCCCCAAGACCCAACTGGCCTGATAGCAAAACAGGAGATTAGAGGATGAGATATGTTCAAGTGTGTATCCTTGAAGGTCTAAGAAGGATGAAAACCAAACCCAGTTATTTTAAACTGTCAGCTATTTTTCAGGAGAAAGATGAAAACCCCTGTGACTTCTTAGATTGTTTATTAGGGACACTAGTAAAATATATGTCCATAGATCCTAATGCAATAGAAGGGCAGATTTTACTTAAAGACATGTTTATTACCCAGTCAACCTTAGATATTAGGAAAAAAGCTACAAAAGATAGACTTTGCTTGAGAGAGTTCACTTGATACTTTGGTAAAAACTGCCTCCTTAGTATTCTCTAATTGGGACTGGCAGAAAACCAAAGAGAGAAAACAAAGAAACCAAAAAGTAGCTGCCCTTGTCACAGCCTTAAAAGAAAAAGAACTTAAGTCTGATTCTTGGACTCCAAGAACTCGAAGGCTACAGGGACCTTCTGTCACTGCCAAAAGCCAGGCCACCTTAAGAAGGACTGCAATACGAGGGTCCACAAAGCATGCCTTAACTGCAAGGGTGACCACTGGAGGCTGGAACACCGTCTGAGGCCAAGGCCCCAGAGTTCAGACCCATCCTCTCAGCTGGCCCAGTAGAACTACAGGGCCTCGGGACACTCGTCTCCTCTCTCTGGCCAGACTGTCGTCTCTGCCTGCCATCTCCACAGAAGAGCCCTGGGTAATCATAACAAGGGGTAGAAATCAGCTGATTGCCGACATTGGCACATATCTCTCTGTCCTTCTCAACTCTGGTCTTCCTTCCAAGCATCATTCCTCAATAAACTATCACCAAAATATCTTGCTTAAACTGTAACTGGGGTAACATTCTCTTCACTTACTCCTTTTTTTTTTTTTTTTTTGAGAATAGAACAAAACAAAATAGAACAGAACAAAGCACATCAGAACAAAACAATGCCCGCAACACAGGATTTCACAAGACAACAGGAAATCAACAGTGGCTACCATAATGTCTCTTGTTTCCTTCAAAATAATTGTCCATATCTTTACATACAATGAATTCAAACAAGACTAAATAGTATAAGACTGATCAAAACAAAAGAATTAAAGCATTATAGGCCTTCAAAACCAGACAATAAGAAAATCAACAATGACTACCATAATGTCTCTTTATTTTCTTCAAAATAGTTGTCCATACCTTCACACATACTGAAATTAAATAATACAAAACAGACTAAAACCAATTAAAACAAAGACTAAGAGCATTACTGGATATCACAAGATGATAAGAAATCAGCAATGGTTACCATAATGTCTTGTTTTCTTCAAAGTAGCTGTTCATACCATCACATGTAATAAAATCAGTTTTTCTAAACTCTTTAGGAGAAGTTCTAGGCATGCATAAGCTTATACATGCACATCTATCCTTTCTGTATTAGAGGAGAAAACAAAACAAATTACAAGAAAAATAAGAAACAAAAGATACAAATAAATAATAATAAAGAGCCCAAAACAATGACAACATAGGCCCTCAAAACAAGGTGGTAGGAACATAACTAAGGTTGTTATTTTGCATAGTTATCTTCAAAAGTGTTTCTCAGATCACCAGACATAAACATGCAAAATTGATTCAGTTCTGTGAATGTTAACTGTTTTGTTCCAAGAACTAATAGAATTAGTAACAAAATCATCTTAGTATTTTAATTGTTTATATACAAATTTATATCTTTTTTCTTTTCCCTTCCTTCTTTTCTCCCTTCCCCTATCTGAGATACTTTTTCCCCTTTGAGCAGTTTCTTACCCTTTCACAATATTTATTGAAGATTTGGATCTTATTTATTCCTTCGGTTTCTTACACTAGGGAGCCAATATGGTATTTACACATGTGAGTTTCATTTATTTTGCTTATGAGTATGGTCTCATGTTGCATCCATTTATCTATAAAAGCCTCAGTGAGACCCTTTTTTATACTGAGTAGTACTCCATTGTATAAAAATACCACATCTTTTTTATCCATTCCTCAGTTAATGGGAATCTAGGTTGTTTCCCAGATCTGACTATTACAAACTGTGCTGCTATAAACATGGGTACACATATATCACTGTGATATGATGCTTTCAATTCTTCTGGGAATATGCCTACAAGTGGAATAGCTGGATCAAATGGGACTTCCAATCCCAGGTTTTTGAAGAATCTCCAGACTGACCTCCACAATGGTTGCACCAGTCTACACTTTCACCAACAGTGCAAAAGAGTTCC